GATCCAGAGGCAGATCCAGATGCAGCACTAGCACCGGAAGAAGAGCCATTGCCAGAGCTAGAGCCAGCAGAGCTATTGTCAGAGCTAGAGCTGGTGAAAGAGCTATTGCCAGAGCTAGAGCCGGCGGAAGCAGAGCCATTGCCGGAGCTTGAGCCGGTGGAAGCAGAGCCATTGCCCGAGCTGGAGCCAGTAGTGGAGCTGCTACCAGAGGTAGAGCTGGAGACAGAGCCGGAGCTAGAGCCAGCAGGCGAGCCATTGCCAGAGCTAGAGCTGGCGGAAGCAGAGACACTGCCGGAGCTAGAGCCAGCAGAAGAGCTGCTGCCAGAGCTAGTGCCAGCAGAGCTGTTACCAGAGGTGGCGCCGGAGCCGGAGCTGGTTCCGGCAAAAGAGCCAGCAGAGGAACCAGCATTGGAACCACTAGGCTTGCTAGAATTAGTGCCAGAAGAAACACCCGAATCGGAGCCAGAGTTGGAGCCAGTAGTAGAGCCCGAGCCCGAGACAACGCCAGGCCCAGACGAGGAGCCAGAAGCCGCACTGGAGCCAGAAGTCGATCCATTGCTGGCTGTCGGAAGGGCTGTGGCTGTGGAGACACCACTGGTGCCATGGGCCGTGGCAGAAGCAGTCACGGGGCACACAGTCGTTGAGACGACCAGAGTCTCGGTAGTAACAAAGGTGCTCTTTGCGGAAGCGGGGCAGTTGGGGACGGTGGAAGGGCACGCCGTGATGGTGGCAGTACGAGTACTGAAGACAGTAGAGGTAGTGCTTCGGCCGTCGTCACCGCCGGGCAGACCGGTGTTGGATCCTCCTGTAAGCGAGGCACCAGTGGTAGGTTGAGCCTCGGTCATTGTGACAGGGCAGATAGTTGTAGAGACCACCAAAGTCTCGGTTGTCACAAAAGTACTCTTTGCAGAGGCAGGACAGTCCGACACACTCGATGGGCAAGCGGTGATGGTTGCAGTGCGAGTGCTGAGAATGGTTGATGTAGTGCTTCCGCCCTCCGTTCCGCTCGAGCCGCCTTGGTCAGAAGTTCCAGTGGTTGTCACGATGGCAGTTGGTTGAGTTTGAGACGCTCTTGTGGAGCAAATTGTCTCCGAGACGGTCATAGTCTCAGTGACGTAGGTAGTTCTTCTTGTGGAGGGAGCGCCAGAAGCGATGACACCGCTGCTGGAAGATGCAATAACTGCAACGGAGGAAGAAGGAATGACTGGAGAAGCGGAAGAGACTGGGGAAATAACAGCCACAGAGCTGGGTGCAGAAACAGCAATCTGAGAGGTCAATGCAGACACAGGGGATGAAGAAACAGACAGAGTCACTGCTCCGCTTGAAGAAGGAACCGAGACTGCGATAGTCGAGAAAGGAGAGGCGGCAGGGGTAGCAGGACGTTGAGCCAGAGGGCTGACGGCGGCAGATGAAGAGCTGATTCTCGGAATAGCAGCACTAGATGGAGCAGCAGCGCTGGGCGAAGAAGCAACGCTGGACGGTGCGACAGCGCTGGCGGAAGAAGCAGTGCTAAGAGAAGGCACAATCACAGAGACCTGCGACGAGGGTGTGCTGCTGCTGGTAATCACCACTGGTGTCACAGCCGATGGCGTGGGGGAAGTAACCATCGACGATGAGAGCACAGATGGAGATGGCACTTGCAAGGAGGATGTCTGAATTGAAGTGGTGGTTGGAATCACGGTGGATGTTGGGAGTTGCGTAGGGGTAATCGTGATGGTCTGGGTCGAACATGAGGTGACCGCAGGTCCAACAAATTGCACATTGTCCAGATCGATAGCGGCTCCAGCATACTGGGAGGTGCCGGTACAATAGCCATAGATCTCAAAGGTGTGTGTTCCGGCGGTGGTAGGAGTATAGCTGAACGAGAGGGTGTCCCAACCAACCGTGCTTGAAGAGACAGACACGGTAGCACTTCCGACGAGGCCGGCGGTGGTGAAAGAGTCAATGTACGCCTTGATATAGCAAGTCATACTGGCGTGAGAGGAAGTCGGCTTGATGCGATATTGGAATGATCCGGTATATTGGCCATTCGTAATGAACGAGCTACTTCTCTGATATAGTAGGACCGTTACCGATGTGCTGGTCGCGCTCGTCTCACTACCAGAATTATTAGCATGCATCCAAGCGTTGAGGGTCCTTGAAAACGGTCGTGTCTCACACATATAGAGAGCCGTCAGCTGCATCGCCTGAGATGACGTTGCCAGTGGTTCCGGAGGCAAATCCCCAGCCGGTGATACCACTTTCAAATGACGGATTTGAAAGGGGATTGGGCGTGGATGTCGCGCATGTCACCACCTCGGTCTCTTCAGCCGACACACCGGGAAGAAAGGAGCGCGAAAGCAACAGAAGCGAAACGAGAGACGGTAAGCGAGGCATTGTGGAAAGCGAGTGTGTGTCTGAATAAGAAAGAAAATGAGGCAGAAAGGACCGTCGGTCGGCTCGTCCACCTGACAGTTGAAGTCAGAGAGGACAGCAAAAAGAAGAACGAGAGACCGGTGAAGAGAAACTTAGAAGGAAAGAGTGACTCAATCAGGGATGGAATGGATGGTCGGCTTCAGCTCTTAAGAGATGATGAAGCCGGCGGAAGGCCCCAATCCGTCCCAATCCATCCCATCGTTGTCGTCTTAAGCTAGACCGTTTAAGCCTCTATCATACGAGAGCTGAAAATAGCCAGGCAAAAAAGGCCGAGCTGCGGCTGAACTGGAAGGTGATTGAGCGATTCAGGGGATTCCTTCATGGTGGCCAAAAGCCTTTTGCATAGTCCCGTACGCTAATATCCACATTCGACAGATTGTAGACATCTTAGCCGAGATAGCTTGTGGCTAGACTGCAGCTGAAAGCCTAAAAAGTCTCTTGATCTTGAAGAAAAAAGTGGAACAACCTTTTCTTAGCGTCCTTTTTCAGGGACAAATCTGGCGAGCAAAGATTTGTTCCATGATTCGTGTGGGTATGGACTGTGGAGAAGATATCTTGACTCGTGGTCATGTGCTCCTTTCTGCACGGTACACTAAGCAACTGTGATGGTGAAATGTGCATTAGGTATTTGCTACCAACCAATTCTATGTTTAGTTCCATGATGATGACAGAGATTCCGGATCAACCGTGAACAGATGTTTGAAAACAAAGCCCACCCCGCTAAAGCAACATTATAACAGAGATACCCAAGATAGAACAAAAGCAAAACAGCCCAGTGCGGTATACATATGCGAATATATCAACACGTGATACGGTTGGTGTCAATCTAACCCACGAGTTCAGAACATTACCAGGTTTCCTGTTCTGAGATTAGCATCCATGAATCAAATAGCCCGACCTTGAGGGTGGAGAACTTACGGCAATGTATTGTCCGGCTTCCTTCTTGTTCGCCCAGAACTGTTTCGCTTCCTCCATATTCAAATTGCCCTTGGCCATGGCAACATCGACGAGAGCGTCCTCGACGCCCTCGCCCATCCCCTTACCGCTACCGCAGACGAAGACTCGGCCGTCCAGAGCATTGATGACAAACCAGACCAGATCAGCTTGATGGCGCACCTCTTCCTGAACATATTTGCTCTCCCCACGGCGGCTTTGCACTACCGTGCGCACCTTCTCCTCATCAACGCCCCATTCGCCTCGGTAGAGCTCGTCCAAGAGGGAGTCACGGACGCCCTGCAGGACCCAGACCTTGTTAGCGCAGTTGGCCGACTGGAGGCGTCGCTGTACGAAACCGCGGAAGGGAGCGATGCCAACACCGGCACCAATCAAGAGCATAGGGCCGTCGGAAGTAAACTGCTTGGCCAGCGGGTTGGCCATTAAGCCCCGGAACATAGGGACATGGAGGTCAAGAGTGGAAGGGTCAATGCCCTTCTTCTCCGCCTCGATCACTTGGCGTGCGAGCTGCTCGAGGAATCCAGACCCAACGCCCGTGCGCATGCCCCCCTTCCAATCGTCTGATTCGGCAACAGTCACCGCCACCTCGACCAAACGGCGGGTTTGGGTACCCTTATCCTTGCATGAGAGAAGCGGGTCCTGAGAAAGGGAGTAGAACCTCGGCATGAGGGTATTCAAGACAGAGAGAAGATGATCCAGGGGAGGTTGAGATGAGGGAAAAGCGTGCAACAGCTGAGAGACGGTGATGTGCGAGCTAGTACGCAGGTCACAGAAGGCGCCTTGTCCCTGAGCGGAGGCGAGGAACGAAAGGATCTTCTTTTCATTTGGTTCACTGGCATACTCGGCGAGCAGTCGGAATAGACCCTTGGTGGGTGCATAGCTCTGAATGTCTGAGCACCAGTTCAGCAATTCCCGCCGGGTGGTGATTAGCTCCCGAGGTTGATCGTCTCCCCAGATCGTGGGCCACCGACCCTTCGTGGTGCGCACGGTGATCTTCTTGTCACGAATCGACTTGGGCACACCCAACAAATTGAAGATATCATCGACCTCCTCGTCCTTGTTCTTGGGGCATACTCCAATGGCGCCACCCACGACGAAATCGACGCTACCACTCTCGGCAGGGTAGTCTGTTACGTCAATCTCAAAATGATATGTACGCTTCTCGGCACCGGACTTGGTCAATTCTCGGGCATGGTGCAAAGGCGCACGGAAGACGTCATACGGGGGATGAGGTTGGACAAAAGGAGGCGGATGGTTTGCAGAACCCAGCTGCAGATCCACTGCCGATTTCGGGATTGCAGAAAAAGAGACCGTCTTCTCTGGTAGAGGCACAAGGTTCGTCAATTCGCTGTCCAAGGTGAGGTAAGCGACATTGAGCTTGAGGCTCTCATAGGCCTTGTTGTGCGGAGGAGTGACGACATTGGCTCCAACCGATGGCGTAGGAATGTTGATCAAAGGCTGGCTGCGACAGCAACCACCACCACAGCACAGAGGCTGGAGCTTTTGAGTGCCAGCAACGCCGACATTCTCCAAAATTCTTCTCATATCCTCAGAGTTCTGAGAGATCAGAACAGTGGAGGCCCGACGGGGCTTCTCGGAGCCATCTTCGACGGAGGATTTCTTCAATGATTCCTCCGCATCGGACGAGATCTCTGTGTCGGGCGTCTGGGCAGGCGATGGTGATTCGGAACCAGTGGATTCGGTATCGCGCAATGATGGTGACGAGATGCTGAAATTGATATCGGTTACAGACAGTGCCCGAACTCCACGGGGCTCTTCGGGGACAGGGTTATCGGGGTGAGAGGTCGACGATACGGGGATGCTCTTATGGTCCCCATTGGAGGCAAGGGGAGGCTGTGGCGTCGCCAGCCTTGATGAAGGCGGCTGAGGTACGGCGTGAACTACATACACAAAGAAAGGTCAGTCATTTGTCAAGAACTGGGCCGTTGTGAATTGGCCACAAGAGTTGGTGGCGTAGGAATAGCGACGGAAGAATGGAAGCAGAAAAGAAAGTATGATTTACCCATTATATCTCTGTGAAGCAATGTATAGAGCGAAAGAATTGCCCGCGAATTCTGAGCGTGTGACGATATTAGAACAAAGCGCGGAGAGAGAAGATGTTGGGCGGATTGAAGGATCGATCAAACGTAATTGCTGGTCGACAGTGGAATTAAAAAGAAGGAGGGCCCAACGAAAAGGGATGAGCAAAGGTAGTGGCAATTGAAGACGGTCTACAATAGACCAGTGGACACCGCAAAGCGAGTGGGCATTCAGATAAGGACGGACGACTGATGCAGGGAGCAAGCAGATCGGAAATGAAAGAAGTCCCGGAGGATCAGAGCGATGCTGTTTTAGGGAGGTGGAAGGACAATGGATGGATAATGTGCCTGGGGCAAGACGGCGCCGGGAGGACGGTTCCGAATGCGCTAGGGTCTGTACGTGTCAGAAAAGATTCTCCCGGTTTGTATGAGACTGTAACTGGATGATAGAATTGAGATTTTGCAAAAGAGCAAGAATGGTTAAGAGAGGAGAGGAAATTGTTGGGGAAATCCTGGAGAAAGAAAAAAGAGAAAAGAAACCGATGAGATAGGGCACGTGCTAAAGCTACCAATGACGGATTCAAATAGGGGAGAAGAATGCGAGGCGAAAAATCGTAGGGAACAATTATTCAAGAATGAAAGCATGACTTTTTCTGGTTGCCACTCGGTGAGGAGGAAATGTCTCGTACAGGTCCATCCATCGGTTCCAGTTTTCTCTCCACGGTATGTAACAATACCCGTCCACTTCCAGCGACCGTTCGGGAACGTTTATCCCACAACACTGGGGCGTCAATTGACTCAATTCCCATCGGGGTCTTTGCAAAGACAGAGCGTCCGATAGGCTTGTTCAGTCAATTCTACAGTCTATAAGAACATTACTATTCGCTGCTGTGCCAAGCGATCGGGTACTTCAAAGCGAACGGACCCCTCCCAGTCTCTCCGCGGGGTAGTCTGGATCTGCAGCTAGCGGGTTATTTAACTCGAGTCGGTAGGAAATGGGAGGCAAATGAGTGGAAAAGCTATCCCGACTGGGAGACACGGTATCTGCAACTCAGTAGATTTCTCGTGTTGATTATCATAGTACGTCCAGGTCATCAGAAGTGTTGAACGTCTCGTAGGTACACACCTCCTGAATACTGTCCTGGATAGCATGATCCAAGATGAATTCATCCGGTGGCCTGACAACGGCAATGAGACAGTACGTAACAACCGCATCAGCAGCCGAGTTACGTTACCGATCTAATCTGATCCGGGTGCGGCCTATTCCTCGGCTAACACACAACTTTTCCTTGCCAGCTGAACGCTTGGCGACGTTGAGGTGATGTCGACCAGATGATTGCAGGACATACGTCTCAAAAATCAGCTCTTGCCGTCAGCATTTAGTGCAAAGAATAATCTACAGCAGACAATAGTTAGTGGGGGGGGAGGGGGGGGGGATTGTAATGATCAACAGTGCATTCGCGAGGTAATGTGTACGTATTTTTGTTGTGTAGCCGGGGTGTCTCGTTCCGGATCAGATAAGTGGTCGACGGGACTTTTTGCTCCGTGTTCATCCCACTATCCTTTTGTCACAGTAAACATGACCTTTCAGTCAGTCTGGCATATTTAGAACCAGATTTGAAACGGGGTTATTGCTCACCCCTTACACGAGATACATTACCCTTCCTACCAGATGCAGATTGGCGGGACTTTGTCGACGAGAGCCGGAGCTGGCGGTTGAGCTGCTCGGATTGTGTAACTCATGTGACAGGTCTGGTAACCAAACTGTGTGTGGGGCCCATCCGACATCGGCCGACCGGGCGTTTCCGTATCAATCAAATCAATCAATCAGATAGCCGTAGAAAGGCATGCCTTTCCCAACGGGGCTCCATTTCTCCTGGAGAAGGTCATCAGGGGCACAGGAACAGCGAACCAGTTGACTTAGCGTTCAGTCTCATCGAGGGCAGCCGCGTACCCCATAAGATTCACAAACCCCCCAGCCCCAGTGTGCCCACATCCCGTTCTCGAAATATTCTAGCAAGGCACCAACCGTGCCAAACAGGTTCTGGAAGCCAAATGTTAATTTTTCATGGCAGCAGCTCCATTGAGTCGATCAGGGGCTGCTGATCCGACTGCAGGGGGCTCTGACTAGGCTCCACGGTTGAATAGAGGGAGGGTTTTTTTTTGCTTTGTTGTGCCGCACGTAGCCGTACTTCGCACTCGGGGGGGAATTTCTGCAATCATCGACTCGGCTAATACACCGCAAAATCAGGACGAGAGGAAGCATGTCCAAGTATATCCGGTCAAATATCACGTCAAAATTGCGCCATAGAGACGGGCCTCCAACTTCTCAGGCTAAAAGCAGACTAAAATCGGCTCCTTGAACCACTTCTTATCTGATCTTGCTGAAACCCGATTGTGCGGAGCAAGAGTGTAATAGAGCGCAAATTAAATTGGGGCTGGGCTCCTTTCGGATCCAGCAGATTGTCTAGACCGTCGGTTCCTTTCGTTGAGTGGTACGCGGTGGTACTCATAGTACATTCGAGTAGACAAGACCTCTCTTTCAACCTGCTGGTCCAGTCCCTTCATTCACTCTATCTCCCTTTAATCCAGGACCTGAGTCAGCCCTGGTCTGGCCACCTTAGATACCACCCAAGCCCTGAAGTGCTGTCAATGCCTCTTTCAGATTGGCAGGCCTAAACATGCGGTACGAACTGGCGGCGGCATCCGACAGCCTGGGATGATCGGAAACCAAGTCGCCCCCTCCCTCCGATCCCTTCCAGACGTCACACCAGCAAACATACATACATGTAAGACGACGTCAAGCTATGTTAACCCCGCAAAGAAAGGGATGCTGCTCTTTTGCCACAGCTCCCTGAGAGTCCAATTCCCCTCTCGGGTTGGCATCATAATGACACTTGTGACTGATGAAGCTGTTATCCTGCACCGAATCGGGCGAGGACCGAACCAGACCAGACCACCTGACGTAACATGAAACTATTCTCGACCTTCACGCAACCTGGCCTGCTAGCCCGGAGAGCCAATTCTGCGACATTTGGTGGGAGAGAAATCGATACCCAACGGACCCATTCTCGTATCTGGGGCCACAGGCTGGGGTTGTGTTGTGTTTAATGTCCGTCCTTAGCCCTAGCCGGAGTTTCTCCGCGGGTTCCAGTAGTACCTCCCACCGAGTCCCAAATGTTGCGGGGTGTGGACTCTGATTTCTAATGACAGGCCCCATGATTCGTTGGTCAGATATGGTGGATTCTTCGAGTCTGCGCTCCCTTCTACTGTGCATCATCAGACAATGAGGGATGTCGCGGAATGATGTCCGTCACATTCACATTAACTAACACAGCTGGCATATCATGCGTCTTTCCAAGGCACTTCTTTTCGAAAACTGGGCATCAGATCACAAGCCTGGAGGATTATTCAAAGATAATTATATTCGAGGTCACGGCCACAATCCCTGCATCATTATGACCACACACACACACACACACACACACACACACACACACAGGCACACACAGGCACAAAGAACGGAGCCATCCATCCCTGTCCTATATCGGGACGATTTGGTCAAAAACCCAACAGCTACATAAGACATACCTTCTCTGCCGTTAGCCTGCCTCCCCTAAGCGTAGTCACGGAATCTATACACCACCAAGAAAAACAAGAGGACGTAACAACAAAAAGCGCACCCGACAGATATAAGAATGACTAGATCGAGTGTACCAACCAGTCTAGCTTTCCTTACCCCCGCCCCCCCCCTTTAACCCATTCATTTCACAACTCGAATAGAACCGGCTGCTACATGCCATGCTACGACCTGCTGTTTCATTGTAAAGATCAAACCAACCACAGTGGGCAGGCATACTTGCTTTCTGTTTTCTCAGGAAGTGTACCTGCGTTCAAGGCACGGGACGGATCCAGGGTTGTGACTGTCTTACCATTCAAATCGAATTGCTTTCATACACGACAGAGCTTCAGATCAAGCGGAGCGAAGGACGCGTCCTTTTACTTCTATCAGATCACTGTCCTATATAAAGCCACCCGTACATTTGACGGAGATCACGATTGCTTCAGAGTCGCCGGGCTTTGCAGGAATGCAAGCCTGCTACAACTCAGTTCAAGATAGCGGCACGGACGTGCTATGACCAACAGCAAAAGACTTTTTTCAGTCAACAGTGGATGGTGGACAGAGGAAAGTCTGCTGGGACTCAATGCTATGACTGACAAGCAGAGATGACTTCATAAGCAGACGGGAGAGAAGGAGATTTTCGAAAGGGGTACGTGGCTTCAACACAGTCAACACAGTGGCCTAGGATCGACTCTTTGCTGCTCATGACGAGGACGCGTAAGTCGGAGGCATTTTATCAAAGTGGAAGGCCTAGTCTATGTACAAAAGGTTGGGTCTGTCTAAAGAAACCAAAGCATGAATAACGCCTCACCGATGCAAGTTTTGTCGCGCTAATCTCAGCATGTAAACGAGAAAATTGGGGATCGGCTTTCACGATCAGACAGAAGGGCGCCTGAATGGATGCGCCTCAGTGTTCCTGGATTCGAGTTAGCGTCGAGGATTGGAATGACAGCTGGTGTGGCACCTACAGGACGTATTCATCCAGATTTACAACATCCGGCTCGGAGAAGATGAGGTAAAAGTACTTCAGGGTTTCCGCTAGCCAGAAGCTCTCCATGTAATCCAGCTGTGGTGACTCAGGATCGCGCACATCGGCGATTGCAGCGTGGGCAAAGTGCGTCCAAGTCATCTTCTCGATATTCTTAAACATTCGCCATGCAGCATTTTGTAATTTCGTATCGCCGGTGATACGGTACAGTATAAATACAGATTCGATGGCCTCTGGTCTTTGAACAATGTCAGCGCATGAGTATGCCAGCAGGAAGAGAAAACTAACCTGAGGTGATACTTCGGGTCTGGAATATCAACCACCCCCGGCGGCAGCCCGTATGTTTCAATGAGTGATTCGGCCTGCTCGATGGAATTTTGAGAGCTGGACTTCTTCGCCAAGCGGCGTCGCACATCCTGATACCACTTGTTTTCGTCCCACTTGCAATCATTCGGGTCACGACATGCGCTCAGATGGAGTATCTCTGGCATGATACCAGTGGGCATGATATCGTATGCCCAGATGCATCCATCGGCCAACTTCCGCGCGATAGAAAGTTCTTCGGGACGGTCGAATACTTTGGCCCCAATGCCGACAGTGCCACCCAAGAAGCACTTCAGATGTTCCCATTGTGGATCCAGCCTTTCCCTGCTGGGGGAGATCACATTGGCCTGGATGTTCCCAGCGAAAAGAATGTCTTGATTGTCCTTTGTCATTGGGCGGAAGAGGAGACGGCTCTTGAGAGCTTTCATGAACGAGTCGTACATTCCGCGATATTGATTTGTTTGAGCTCCAAGCAGCATATGCTCCTTGGGGAGATACTCGTACGTCGAATCAGCCATCCCTCCGATTGTAAATCGAGGGTCACTGAATTCCATATCTTGTGCATTCACCATCATAGGCCACAAGCCTGGCAGTTTCGTAAGTCCCTGATTCTCTTCAAAGAAGTCTGTAATCCTTTGAATGGCGTCGAAGTACTTAGGATCCTTGGTCAGCTGAGACATTCGGGTGAATTCCAGACTGAGCGATCCGAGTTCAGCAAGAATAGTTTGTTTACTGGGCATAATGCCGTGACCTCCTGCAGATCTAGAGGCCGGTCAGCATTTGCTCTTATCATACGGATACAGCGCCTCGGGTAGCGCGATCCGTCTGGTCATCGTGATCAAATGTATGTCTGCCTTACCTGGTCCATTCCCATCTGGATTGCGGCATCCTGTTACGGGTGTCGAACGATCCATATATCATGTCCGCAATCTCGGTGGCCTTCCTGAGCAAGATAGGGTATTTTCCATCGGTAAGATCATAGGCTCCCAGAAACCCGCCCAGGTAGCGAATGTTGGTCTCGAAAATATTGATCTGCAGAGCGTGCGTGGTCGAGAAATCGATGCGGTCGAGAGCTTCCAGCGCTTCTTCGAACTCTTTTGTCATGCCCATGATGACCAGAGAATCAAGGGAATCAACCAGCGTAGCTGCCCATCCAGCAAACGTCTCGCGATGGCGCCCACTGAGGGGAGACAGCTCGTCCCGTAGCCAGGCATTGTCTCTGTATCCTTTCCACGCATGTTGGAACGCCTTCTTCACGGCGTTCTGTCTCTTTTTCCTCCTCCATCCAGCAACCCACGACTCTCTTGGGAACTCATACTGTATCTTAGGTATAGCGGATGGTACTGCTGTAGGAAGAGGGATGTAATCCTCGATTGGATGATGTTCGGATTGTTTAGTCCAATGGATTCGATCACCACCTGACGATGCTGAAGTCGAGGTGGGTTGTTGCGCATTGCCATGAGCATGTGAATGTGGTCTCCTGGCGCCGGGCGGTAGACTAGAGAACAGACTGTAGGTGAGACAGATGAGAATCACAGTAGGAAGGAGATAGCTTCTCCGCGAAAGTATCATGGTGATTGGTTTATTATATGAAGAAATGGCGCAATTGGACAGAATTGATTGATTGAGAGAAAGGACAGCCGTTCAAGCTACGGCCAGAAGTTATAATATAGAAACAAGTTTAAGCATCGAGAGGAGGCTCGATACCAGACTCAGGCTGAAGTCACCCCGGGCTTGGGATTCCGAGACCAGTACAAAAGAGCGAACGAATTGGGGGAGTTTCCAGGTTCGCGAGACCCTTGGAAAACAGGTATTGTCTAGGAGAATATGGATGAGAAAAAGACATATGGCCCGTATATAGCCGTCAGGGATCGATCACCCCTGGCTGTAGGGGGAGCTCAAGGGCCTTTCCTGCTACTTCAGGTTAAGGCTAGCTCATAAGCATCAGTGTCATTGGTAATTCCAGTATTTTAGGTGGAATGTTGTATCAGACGGGTCAATTGCACTGTCGAACAGCCAGTAATGTGTGGCATGCTGATCGCAAAGAGGAGACAAACCGCATCAGAGTGGCTCAGAAAGTCAACAGAGCTTACCACAGTAAGTAAGAGACGAGCAAGGAAAACAAGCACCGCGGCGGGAGTATCTGCCCATTGCGTAAGCTGGTGGCGCTTTCGACCCTGGCTGGCCGCGGGGCCTTGGATCCCAGGATATGAAATGGGTTAGTGAGACTCAGATTGGTAGGATTTTCTATTCTTAACCTTTGACATATCCCGTGGGAAACGGCCCCTGGAGAGAGAGGGGGGCGGAAGGGTCTCAGGCTCTGAGCCTCTGAGCCACTGTTATGGAACTGTAACCCGCCTCTTGGCAGCAATAGCAGCAACACCAGCAGCTCAAGGGAGATTGGTTGGGGATTTTATTGGTATCCCGGGAATGCAAGTGAATGAGGCCAGCCAGGGTCTGAAGAGACAGCCTAGACTGCTTGCAAGACTAGAAGCACGCCCGTCGGGGTAGAGAGGGCTGGGTATCGGATAAAACGATGAATGTGGAGTCTGGATGGGCCCAACTTCCAAGGGATCCAGTGCTTTTGCTTGGACTGTGATTAATGGGAGTGGAGGCGGGACTGCGGGCGCACAAAAGCACGGGTGAGGGCGGGAATCTGGTTGTTCCATTCCGTCCCCTCGCTGTTTGCTCCGTTTGTGTTGCGGCCTTATCAACTAGGCATCAACGGCTGGCTTCACTACTTTGGGTTAATTCTTCTATCACTGACAGGCTTAAAGTAAGGCTGATATCTATGATTGTACCTCCACCATCAAAGTTATAGCATCGTTCCAGCTCCAAGTATTGCTTCAAGATACCAAAGACTATATAATAAAGTACAGCAATCAAGTATGTAGAGAGGAAAACGAGAACACCCATACTTTTCTTTCAGCCAGTGCTAACACAATAGCAGACAATAACTTACTGCAAAGTATAAGTCTCTATCGACCAGTAACTCAGTCCTATCCTGGGCTTGCTGTCTTAGTCCGTATTCATACTCGACTTTCTCTGCTACCTTGCGCACGTCACCCATCAGACCACACAAAGGTGTGCTGTGCCCAGCTCATACCGTACCGGTCCCATAACGGGGACGCCACCGTCTGCTCAGACAGAATGCCCATCACAGGGTAAATAACCTCTCACTCAGTTGCTCCCATCGAGTTAGATCCTTTTCGACAACTGACTTACCCAACCCCGTGCAGGGTGTACTTCGTCCCTTCCAACCCCAATGCCTCAACGGCACTGGCCACGGTCACCGAGCGCCTCCACACCGCGTTAGCAGAGGAGCCCACCCTCGTCGGCCGGTGGTTCCTGGAGCACAAGCTCATGCGAGACACGCCATCATGCCTTCCAGCGTCTACGCCTCAGCAGCGCCAAGCGCAACCACGATACATGCAGTTCCTCTCCCTCTCCTACCACGCCAACCACGGTTTCATCTACACCTCTGAATCCACCCCGACTAACCCTCCGGCCCCGCCGCCGCCGCCTACGACAGCCGGAGCATCCTCCGGCAGCCCAGCATCATCGTCATCAGCCGCCGGTCCCATGGTGATGACCACCGTCCCGCTCGCATCCAGCAGCACCCTCTTCCACCACTTCGGCTACGCCTGCCAACCCTTCTGGTGCCACCGCCACACCGTCACCGTCCCCGGCGGCGCCGTCTACGACGTGGGCGACTTCCGCGTGCGCGTGGGCGACGTGCGCCAGACGCAGCCGGCGGCCCGAATCCGCGGCACGGTCGTGGAGATCGAATGGCGCGGCCCGTCCTTGGTCAGCTCGATTGCCTCGCAGGCGCTGCTGGCCAAGAAGATGGGTCCCGGTCCGTACGCCGCCACCGCGACTGTTGACGAGGGGGCAGACGGCGACTCCGGCATCGATATGAGCTTCTTTCCGGACGGGGTGGAGGAGGCGGATGTGGACGCGGAGTACGCGGCGAGTGCGGCGCTGGTACGCGAGTTCTGGGCTCGGTTGGGCGTCGAAGGCGCGCGCGAGGCAATCCTGGTGCCGGATGTCGGCAGGGAGGTCAAGGAGCAACTGAGGTGGCTTAAGGCGCACGGTATGCAGAGAGAGTCCGAGGAGAAGCGGGAGCAACAGCCGGACGAAGATCCCGATCCGACGGCGGGAGTGGATTCGGCGAGGCAGTTTATGGAGATTTTCCGGTTCAATCGGTGACAATCCGTTTTCGGTGTAGTCTTTATCAATGGAAGAGAAGGCCGAAACGCGGCGGAGCAATTCAGGTGTGTTCCCATTGTAGAAAGATGTCTCTGGGAAGATTGCCAGACTAGCTTACGGATAATGAAAAATATGTATGCTACTCTTCTCGGGGCTTTGTTGGTGAATCTGGGTTGGGTTGTGGTATGCTTCCTTTCAAGATTTCTTGGCAGGTCATAAGCCTCAACCCTACAGGGCAAGTTACTTGGCAGCCTGAAATTACATGTCAGGACCTGAGGATCTTTTCTTGTTGGGCTGTTTCGCCTGAGCATAATTACCGCTGAAGCACGACAACTGGAACCTAGGCGGCTAGATTGACTGGCAGGAGGGCTAGAAGGGAGAAGCGACCTGTTACGAGAGCATAAGGATGTGAACATGCAACCCAAAGCATCCTCGGCCAAACCAAGAGAATCAAATCTCTTGTGAAGCACACAGGTATTGTTGTCCCTCATCTGACACGACCAGGCGTGGTCTAGGGTTCATGTCGGCGCTAATATTGTTTGCAACAATGACGGCAAAACGACTATGACAATGGAGAGCGCGCTGATGCCCAACCCCTGGTGACCGTAATCGAATAGATAGACTACAAGAAGCTGTATCAGGAATGAGATGGGATACTGTGGAGTACACTTCTCTGTCCCCACCCTTTCGCTAACAAAAAAAATAAAACAAATTGAATATTAACAGCCATCTATTTTTGCATCATGAGCTGAACAAACTCATTGTCTGGAGGAAGGAGCGAAAATTAGTCATCGGGCGGACACTCAAGCAGGGAATGTGTGAAACATACAGTCAATACGGCCGTCACCATCCTGGTCCGCCTCACGGATCATCTCATCGACTTCGTCATCGGTGAGCTTCTCGCCGATAGAGGTCATAACGTGGCGCAGCTCCGCGGCAGAGATGAAGCCGTTGTTATCGCGATCGAAGACCTTGAAGGCCTCACGGATCTCCTCCTCAGAGTCGGTATCCTTCATCTTACGGGCCATCATGGTAAGGAATTCTGGGCAGCTGTCAATACTATGTCCGGAGCCCGATGCATGGCCATCACATACCGGGAAAGTCGATAGTGCCGTTGTTGTCAGCGTCAACCTCGTTGATCATGTCCTGGAGCTCAGACTCGGAGGGGTTCTGGCCGAGAGAGCGCATAACGGTACCCAACTCCTTGGTGGTAATTTGTCCTGTAGCATGGATTCTGTCAGAAATGCGATCGATTCTTGATAGTTTCTGTGGCGTTTGCGGTATGGTGGCTATAGTGCCAGGTGATGCCAGGCGGGTTTCGTTGAGGGGTAAAGAACTACACTAACCATCGCCATCCTTGTCCTATCAGGGATCACGAGAAACGAATCAGTAAACATTGTTTTATAGCAGACGAGAAAGCATCGGGTCGCTTACAAAAAGGGAGAAGGCCTCCTTGTACTCGGAAACTTGCTCTTCGGTCAGAGAATCGGCCTAAATGATGGGATGTTAGCAATTCTGACCAGCATTCCAGATCGATCTGCCCCGCAAAGTGGGGGATTTTCAACACAACTGAGCCAAGACCGCGAACAGGAAGATAGACATACCATGGTTAATGAGATATATGTGATGGGATCACGAAAGAATCAAGAAGGAGGTAATGGATCGAGGAATGAAGGAAGAAGAGGGAAACTGTTGGTTTGATAGGAGCGGGCGAAAGTAGTGGGGGGGGAGGGAGGAGGAGTCGGTAGTGGTGGTGGTGGTGGTGGTGGTGGAAGATGATTTAAGGGGAACCCGAACCCATCATAATAATAAAAGGACCATTGAGCGGGATTGCCTGGCAAGGCGGTCGCTTATGCCCGAAACGTGACCCGCCTGGGCCACCATGTGTCCTCAACTGTCAATTATTATTTATTGCCATGAATAGGTAGTAGTTAGTTACAGTCTGTAGTTGCTATTTTTGATCGGAAGTGCTTCTGCTGCTGGCTTCAATTGCCGCTGCATGCTTCTCTATTTTCCTGCCAGCCCTGCGTGATGGCTGTGCCCCTCGTGCATTTGCTGTCGTCCCCTCGTGCTCGCACCGCCGCTCGTACTGTTCCAGTTAGGTTACCGCCTAGAAAGCAGTGTCTGGCCGCACCCGTGGATCCCCGGCAGTACCAAAGCTTGAAGGCAGCAAGTTCCGCAGCTGTGTCCCAGGGTCAACTTTATTCAGGTACTTTTCGCTGCAGAGTTCCCTGGCAGTCCATTCACTGCTGCGTTCCTTCTGCTACTTTGAGACTAAATTGTGTCGAATGCGATGATTGTCCCTGTCTGCTGCGTTCCCATCTGCGCGCAAAAATAGTGCTTGGATGGCCACAGCTGGAAACCAACCCAACGGTGGTCCCTTGTTGCACTGAAGAGAGAGATATTCTATGGTTTCTCTTGGGTTATCATCCATACTCCGAGACTGGTCATAGAAAATATGTATCTTTTGTCCTGATACGGTAAGCGATATAGTATACAGACGCAGTTGAAGACCGACTCTCGAACTACGTCGAAGTAATTACAACAATGCCTTTATCTCACTGTAGCCCGGAAGAAGCAGGAGGAGCATGATACTAACAGTAGGAAGCATGCTGTTGAATGCCTTTCAACGATGTAGGCGCGACTCTACCCTACTCTGGACAAACCATCATTTAACTTCTAAATTGTATACTTCAAGCAAGAAGGATCTGGACCTATCTGATACTTCACCAAAGGCTTGGGTCTTCATCACTGAAATACCAGCACAATAAGTTACTGAGTACGGAGTACGGAGTACACAGTTGCGATCAGGGTGCTGATGGCTGACGTAATGGCGAGGATCCATCCATGCTCCATGCCGTGCTTTCCGAAAGAGGGAAAGTGCCGGATTGGCCTTCATGTGCAACATGCCCGGGAGGTCCAGCTACGGAAGTACAGGAACAGCGACAGGTCCTATCGGGCGCATTTCGTGTTAATCATCTACACAGTGACCAAGAGAGTCCTTGTACTTACGCGAAACAGTCTATTTTCTCTTGATTTCACTTCTGGCAAGACCCTCGTCCCAACTCTATCTCTCCTGTTTGGCCCGACAATGATCAGGGTAGCAGCAGTCTAGAGGCGCAACCACCCCCCCGTTGACGGAACACCGCAGAACAAGGGCAACACCCACAAACATTGCTTCACAATGTGGCGGGACCGGACCAATCTGTACTCTTCATACCTATACACCGGTCGTCTTTGCGAACATGTCATGCTGATCTTTCGATTGATCATAGTTACATCTCTTACCGTCAGTCGTTCACACATCATCCGGCCAAGAAGCCACGTTATCTCGGCGCCTCCAATGGCTTCTCCGACATCCCCTCACAGTCTGAAGAGAGCCGCCGACTCATCGGCGAGACGGGCGGATCAGATGAGGATGGCGACGCTATCATCGAGATGGACGTATTACCCCCGCGCTGGGTCGATGTGCAGGATGAAGTGACGGAGCTGCTCGCCGACATCGCGCAGAAGTCCGCGCAGCTGGACAAGCTACACCAGAAGCACCTTCTCCCTGGGTTTGGCGACGAAGAGATCAGGAAGCAGGATGAAGCCGCCATCGAGCGACTCACCCAGGACATCACGCGCTCCTTCCACGTATGCCAGAAGGCCGTGCAGAGGATCGAGATGATGGTGCGGGATGCTAAACAGCAGGGCGGAGTCAGCAGCGGAGATGAGACCATGGCGAAGAATCTACAGATCTCGCTGGCCGCACGCGTGCAGGAAGCCAGCGCTCGATTCAGGAAGAAACAAAGCAATTACTTGAAGAGTGAGTGTTGCGGCTGGGAGCCCTCGCTCTCGGGCCCTGTACATTCTGGTTCTATGCGCTAACCATTGTCTGGCTGGCAGAGCTACGAGGTTTGGAGGGTGGCGCTTCCTCTTTTGACAGGTCGCCGACCCCGATGCAGAATCCCTTCACAGATCCTTCCCTCCTGGAATCAGACGCGGACAAGTCCTTCTCCCAGTCCACTCTCATGCAAACCTCACAGCGTCTGTCAACATCAAATGACGCCGCTATCGTACAACGGGAACGGGAAATTAATGATATCGCTAAAGGCATCATTGAGCTGTCAGACATCTTCCGCGAGTTACAGGCTATGGTGATTGATCAGGGTACTATGCTGGATCGCATAGATTACAACATTGAACGTATGGGCACGGAGGTCAAGGCAGCAGATAAGGAGCTCAAAGTAGTAAGTTCTATTTGGTCGTCGTATTGCGAAATGAGACTAACATAGCATCCTATCTCAGGCTACTAACTACCAGCGGCGCACGGTCAAACGCAAGATTCTCCTCCTCTTGGTGATATTGGTGGCAGGGTTATTCATCGTATTGCTAGTCAAACCAAAGAAACATGATTCCCCCGCGCCTCCTTCACCGGCACCGGCACCGGCACCAGCATCGGAGCCACCCTCTACACAGCCAAACCAACCACTCCCTGGATTGAGCTCTCGTGCATTAAGGTCAAGCTACCACCGAAAGAGACGACCGTCGTTGACCAGGGTCGCGAGGGACAAATGGGTGGATCCAGACATATACCCATAGTTCTTTCCGTTAAATCCAGTATTTTCGCCTGGTTCCGATGATACATTGTCATTCTCCAATAGCAAAATCAGCCAACAGCCAGCCAACATCATAAAAGATTGTAAAAAGTGTCTCCCTGCAGAAGCATGGCTAAACAGCGGAAATACGGAGCTTGAAAATGTGCGTGCCAATGGAAGCACACAATGAAACTTGAACAGCTGGTGAATATGTCGAAATCAGAGCGGTAGCTTGCATATCCATATACCCACCTAGTAGTGCGGGGTATCAATTCTGTGCATCGCCTTCCTGCTTCAAGAGCTCCGCCACATCAGCATCCAAATCGCCGCTCGCAAATTGAGCGTAGTCCTCTTCTTCGTGGGTGACCTTGCGTTTCTTGGCATGGAGGCCATTCGACCCGTCAAAAATTGCCGGGCCTAGGTCTGATGTGGGGTAAGATGGGTTCAGAGGATGCTCAATTCCAGGAAGTGTGAACCCGCCGACAATCTGGGTTTCGTTGGTGAGTCCTGGAATTGTTTCCTGGGGAGCCTGTTTCGGAGAGCCAACGGGTGTTAGGGCCTCAACAGGCGGAGGAGTCAGAGCCTCGACCTCCGGCCGAGGCACACTCGCTTCTCCTCCAAGCCCGAGGTCTCCAGTAGCCGCAGGTGAGCTTTCCGCAGACAGGCCTCGCATGATGCCATCCTCGACCTCCCGCTTGGTCGCCTCGGTTTCGGCCTTTCTTTCTCCGAGCTGCGTGGCCAGTCTCTGCTCCTTTGACAAAGCTGAGCGATTGGTCTCCAACAATTTCTCAAGACCGTCAATGAGTGCCAACCGCGATTTGATAACCTCCGACACGGAGCTCTCAGCATTCGCCAGAGCCTTCAATAGTTGGCTGAGCCGTGCAGCGTGCACCGGAGGGGTAGGCAACGGGTTCTTCGGATCGTGTAGCTTATCGTACTCTGCGTTGGCAGCGGTGGCGGATGCAGTCGAAGTTACTGTAGCTTTTGAAAGGGCTGTCTGCAAAGGGACCAATGGCTGAAGCTCAGATGGGGTAGAACCGGACGACGTTGAGAAGAGTGATCCGCCCAATGGCGGCTTTTTCCCGGTAGAGCGTGATTTGTCAATCTCTGGAAACATATGAGCTAAAGTTGTATTAAAGCGTCCATTCAAAGCGTCCTTACCATCCACTCGAGCCTCGATAACATCCTGGATTGACGGCTCGAAGATTGCCCGTGCCCTCCAAACCTCTATTACTCGTCGCAGCTTCTGTTGAATGTCATTCGAGGCACCCTTGTATGCAGTAGCCGTTGCCTCCGCGATGATCTTCTAGATGTCAGCTTTATCCTGAATCTTACGAGGTTTTGACGTAACATACTGGAGAGAACGCGAGGAGGAAGTCTTCCTTGCGCCGCGCGCGCGACTGTTGCACGACCTCTGGGTTGGGTCAGTCATCGGGGACCAGGCTAGTAGTATGTGCCGTGCGTACCATTGGCGAGATAAATCAGATTCAATCGCTTCGGCGCAGGCGATTCACGCAATTTCTGCAGCCAAAGCTGCCCTGTCCGCTCCGCGTGTCGTCTATCGATTGCGGACCTGGTTAGCCAAGACCAGTTGGTTATCCATAGCTGTCAAGATCATTTACCTATGGAACATAACCCATTGGGCGACTGTGACAATGCCTTCTTGGGTCTCGTTGAGCGCAGAGAGCTTCGCTTTGACAGCGTCATCGGTATAAGCCATTGTGGTTGCTTCGCTCTTTCAGAACAGCAATCTACTGTGGTCTGGCAAGTGTGATGGGGTAATTGTGAATTTCGGTATGTTTGGGCTGGCGACTCGAGTTGTTATAGGTAGATAAGTGGTGGCTAACCTTTGGAGATACAAACGGGACAAGGAGGGAATACAGAAAGGCCAAGACGAGGTCCAAAGGAGCAGAAGAGAATAGAAAGAAGGACTACTGAGGTGAAAGTGAAGGATTCCCTGAAGAGTAAGTCACTCTCTCAGGTCCGATGCAAGCTGCAGCCCAGAGCTCTTACCGCCCTCCGTGGCAGAATCCGGGGGGTTCTCCAATTGCCCATTCAAACGGACTCTCCGCCCGCATCCCCAACCCGCCAGCTGGTACCTTACATCCATTCCCCTCCGCTCCCCTCCCTCTTCCTCCTCATCGCTTTCGTCTTCTGGCAGTTACTGCACATTACTGTGGAAAGTCGCATAACATTTCTGAACCTCACGCAATCAATCAAACATGGCCGACCGCTTCCCTTCATTGGAGGATTTCTCCGCGGGTGAGCAACCCGCATCATCGCCGCTTCTACTACATCATGATACTAACCCGTCGCTAGGCCAAACTGAGGTGGTGGAGACTAATGGCGGTGCTGATGAGAACGACTTTCTGGCTCGCGAAAGAGCCATGCTTGGTGATGATGCCGAGCAATTTGCAACTCCCCAAGACCATGTCGCTGTCACCGAAGGCGTAAACAACGATGACGATCTACTTGGTGGTGGTGCGGATGCCTTCCCAGCCGCAGGCGATGCGTCTCCTAACGAGATCGGCGGCTTCGAATCTTCATTCCCAGCTCTCGACACACAAAATGAGGTACGCATTGTACTCAATTCCTCGAACGGTCATGTTTCAAGCGTACTAATGTACTGCTGGCCAAACAGCAAGTTGCCCCTGGTGGTACAATCACTGGAACGGGGGCCCCCTTCCCGCCTACCGGATACACCAACTACACTTCCCAAGCTCCCGACGAGGAGCCTGAGCCCGTCAGGTAAACACCATCCCAAGCTCGAGAAAGTCTACACGCCACTATCCCCGCTCTTCACCGCTCCGTCGCTTCCATGCTGCCCATGTTTCTGACATTGCGACTCCTATAGGGAATGGCGTGAAAGACGCAATGCAGACATTCAGCGTCGTGCCGAGATTTCCGAGGAGAAGAAGGAAGCGACCATCAAGAAGGCGCAGGAGGACATTGATGACTTCTATGTCTCCTACAACAACAAAACAGACAAGCTGCGCGCTCAGACTCGCGCCGAAGCCGAGCAGTTCCTTTCTAATCGTGAAGACACATCCTCTGGCGGCACTAGCTGGGAACGGATTGCTAAACTGGTTGACGTGTCTGGAAAGGGTAGCAAGGGTGGCGCCAGCGGATCTGGCAAGGAGCGCTTCCGAGAGCTACTGCTCGATCTGAAGAAGGACCAGAATGCACCCGGTGCTGGCGGTGTCTAGACCTCGAATCACCTGAACTCCACGGTTGGCGAACGGGACCGAAAAGAAAAAGTCCCCTGGAAATTATACCTCATCACTTACTTCAGCGCCATTCTCATGAAAATCATGTTATTCCGCATCGACTCCAAGAGCCTACACGTTCCTCACCAACCTGAATATACCTATGTTGACCGCTTGGGGCCGTGGTGGCTTCCTAATCACATGTTTCTTTATCCTATTTTCGTCACATGTTTTGATATCTTCGTTATTCCCTTTCTGTAGCTAGATCATGCATATTGGAACACTAAATTATTTCACACCTCGTGGAACTACGTAACATAACGGAATCAAACCCCAACACCTGCAGATCAATTCCGGAGACTATTGCATGCATAAGCTGTGATGGCCTTGGGTCAGTAAGTGCAATTATGTGGAAAGTAGATGATCGGAATATTAGCATAGTTGCCGGTCGGGGTTCAGATGATAACAACATAAAGACCTATGCCTATGGCATTTAGGCTGTACATTCACACTCCTCAATCCAACTCGGTGATATCACCTCCTGGCTCGCCTATCTCCTCCCTCTCCTTCTTGTTCTCCGCCTCGATCTCTTCCAACTTCTTCCGACCTTCTTCAGTCGTGGCGTCGACAATGCCCTCCTCGAGACTTAGCATGCCAAATTGTCCCAGCTTCTCAACGACATCCTCAGCCTCTTCAACGCTCAATTCCCCGAGAACCTTATTAACTTCGTCCAGAGACTCGGATGCCAAGGCATTCTGCATTTCTTTCGAAAAGGACTCGAAGACCTTACGCGCCTCCACCTCGATGGGATCCTGACTCTCGGCTGCAGGGATAGCAATACTGATCTTGGTGTTGGGGTCAACCGCATGCAACTGGATCTGCTCCACACCAGCCGGATCGTTAGATGCGGAGCCATCCTTGGCGAGCTGTGCAGCACGCGTCTTGATCTTGTTATAGGTCTCGTTCACGTCATTTCGGAAAAGGGTTCCGGCCTGGTGGTCTGCCGTTGTGATGCTAGAATGTGAAGTAACTGTTAGCGTATTGTTTTCACGGGTAAGCACTTCATACACGTACCGTTTGAAAAATAGAGAGATGCCGTCGCGGCCGAGGGACCGGCAATATTGCAACAGCAATGCCTGGTGGACACATTGACGGGCATACTCTTCCTTGCCTTCCATCTGGCTGTTGAAGGCCTCCACGAGGAGGCCATCGGTCTCTCTCTCAGCGACGATCTGGGGGTTCGCGGAGATGAACTGCAACAAAGCGCGGTAATCGCTGCGGTCGATCTTTGCAAACCGCTTGGCCAGGTCACTGGCCTTCATGTCCTCTGGGTCCTCATCCTCATCCTCATCATCGGCTGCCGCAGGTTTCTGGGACGAAGCACCAGCGGAAGCTCCGGGGTTCAGAAGCTCGACCGTCTGGGTCTTTGCCGACGAGCCCTGGGCCCCTTGTATTTCGCCTCCCTTGGCGATATGCGAAGTGTCAAAACCAGTGTGTAGCTGGTCGCTGGTGATCTTGCTGCTCTCCTCCTTCTCCAGTTGCGCAAGTCTTTGGTGAAGCTCTTTCTGTAGACCTTGCACCTTATCCTTATGTCCCTGTACGCCCTTGATGTATTCCGAGAAAAGCCTATCATCACTGACTTCACCGATTTCTTTCTTGACCTGATCAACCAGAGCACCCATCATCTGAGAATACTTGGGTTGTTCCTTCTCTTGCGTATAGACTCCCTCCGGCGGCGGGGGAGGCAGGTCCTCTGACGGATTACTGGCAAATTCCATTAAAGCCTGGAAGACGAATTCCTCGGGGCTCTTGGAGGAGCCTTCATTTTGCTTCAAGAGTGTAAGAAGCTTGTCGATGCGGGCAAGCAAGCCATCGTTGATTATGCGCTCATACTTGAAAGTTTGGATCTCATGACGGCGCTGCACACGCTGCTGGTGGATCTGGGCCTGTTTGGCTCGGATGAAGGAGCGCTTATCGACATTCGGATGCACTTCGATGTCGGAGTCATCTGACAGCTCGAGAGCATCCCACTTGCTATAGTCGAGAACCATGGTGGGTTGAGTGTGCCGATGTTCAAGAAAGTATAGTTAAGGAGAGGTGGGGGTGGGGTAGGCAGCAAAACAGCAACTGTTTAAACTAGTACTGCAAAACACAGCCTGGTTGGGTATGGTTGTGATTAAGGCGGGGAATTTCAGATCAGAAAGTAGGTGTCTCTTTATTCCGGCAAGGAAATAAATCGTGCGCAACCACAGCAACAAGCGCAGACAGCTGCTTCAACATCCATCGAATGCTCTCGACCAGCTTCGATGGCGGCGGAATCACAGCAGGCGGTGTGGAAGAGCAGAACCGCCGCCGATGCGAGGCCGAAGCAGCGATGCTCGGGACCGTAGGTTCGGCGGGCTTCGCGGCTGACCTCCAGCTTTCTGGCTTTCCCCTCCATCAACCTCACAACCAGCCCCCAGGAAACAGCAAGTTGAGCTCGTCTAGGACTCGTACCCCATGATTTCTGAGAGCATCTAGCAGGATATGGCATCCGCCTTCCCTCAAACGCCTTTCATTTCAGCAGCTATCTGATCCCGCCCTCTACACTTCTCCGACATGCGCGGAGCCAGGCTGCTGGCCTCCTGGGCTCCAGGAGTAGCTGCCAGACAGACAGCTCGAACGCCTGGAAGCATCGCTTCCGAGCTATTTTCTCAGAATAATACCTCTCCCGTTGGGACGAGTTTTCCTGGATCCAAGAGACACTTTTCAGGACCATCGAGCATATTACGCAATTACCACGGAATCCCTCTACCCTCCGGATCGCCGCGCTCTCACGTCAATCGCGCCCGAACCGCAATTGATCCCTCGCAACTGCTCGGATGTATTCGTCTCTTCTCTTCCTCTCAGATTTCACTGGAGGCCAGGCCAACGGGTCAGACGACACCATCGCAAACTCAAAAAGACACGACACAGGATAAGGATGACGAGGATCTGGACAAGGGATTTGAACTTTCGGAACGGGCAGCTCAGGCAGCTAAGGTCAACCTCCGGGCAAAGCTCGCCAAAGACGGGGCTTCAGGAAAGAATGCTGGGCTCAAGGAGATTTGGCGACTGCTATCCATCGCGCGCCCAGAGGCTAAAAAGCTCGGGTTCGCTTTCTTCTTCCTACTCATCTCTTCGGGTATCACGATGTCTATTCCCTTCTCTATTGGCAAAATCATGGACGCAGCCACGAAGTCGGCGCAAGACAACGAGATAGCAGATGAGGGTGCTCCGGATCAGCTTTTTGGCTTGAGTGTACCTATGTTCTATGGTGCATTGGCCGGAATCATGACCCTGGGTGCTGCCGCTAACTATGGTCGCATTGTCATTCTGCGTATCGTCGGCGAGCGCGTCGTTGCTCGACTCCGTTCGAATTTGTTCCGGAAGACCTTTATTCAAGATGCGGAATTCTTCGATGCGAACCGCGTGGGTGATCTGATCTCACGTCTTGGCTCTGACACGATTATCGTTGGCAAAAGTATCACTCAAAATCTCTCCGACGGTCTCCGGGCGACGGTCAGTGGTGTGGCAGGATTTGGCCTCATGGCTTATGTCAGTCTCAAATTGTCCAGTATCCTGGCGCTTTTGCTTCCTCCGATCGGCTTAGGAGCCTTCTTCTATGGAAGATCGATTCGAAACCTGAGCCGCAAGATCCAGAGGAATCTCGGAACCCTTACCAAGATCGCCGAAGAACGCTTGGGCAATGTGAAAACTAGCCAATCCTTTGCTGGTGAGATCCTGGAGGTCAACCGCTACAACACTCAAGTTCGCAAGATCTTCGAGCTCGGCAAGAAAGAGTCTCTGATCAGCGCGACCTTTTTCAGTTCTGTATGGTACCCTGAGTCGAAATATGCTGAAGGTTTCGCTGACTTCTCCGTAGACCGGATTCATGGGTAATATGACCATTCTTGCTCTACTCTATGTTGGAGGGGGAATGGTCAAATCAGGCGCCATCAGCATTGGAGAGCTCACATCTTTCTTGATGTATACTGCCTATGCTGGATCCAGCATGTTTGGTCTCTCTAGCTTCTATTCCGAACTAATGAAAGGTGTCGGTGCGGCTAGTCGTCTTTTCGAATTGCAGGACCGACAGCCAACGATATCACCCACAAAGGGTGTCAAGGTTGAATCTGCTCGTGGCCCCATCCGCTTCGAGAATGTTTCGTTCAGTTACCCTACCCGCCCTGCGGTTCCTATCTTCCGCGATCTCAATTTCGAGATTCCTCAGGGTACAAACGTCGCCATTGTCGGACCCTCAGGCGGAGGAAAGTCCACCATTGGTTCTATCTTGCTGAGATTTTATAATCCCACTGCAGGACGCGTTCTGGTCGGTGGCAAGGATATCAGTGAGATGAACGCTAAGTCTCTCCGCAGGAAGATAGGTGTAGTTGCACAGGAGCCTGTCTTGTTTTCTGGGACAATTGCCGAGAACATCTCTTATGGAAGTCCCCACGCAACTCGGTCAGAGATCATTGCGGCTGCTAGGAAGGCGAACTGCCAATTTATCAGTGACTTTGTAAGTGGGTTGAAATGATTCGGAAAGCATTCTCAGCTGACACATGTTCGACAGCCGGATGGCCTTGACACTCAGGTTGGACCTCGCGGAGCTCAACTCTCTGGTGGCCAGAAGCAACGCATTGCCATTGCTCGCGCTCTTATCAAGGATCCTGATATTCTGATTTTGGACGAGGCGACTTCGGCGCTTGACGCGGAGTCCGAGACCCTTGTTAACAGTGCCCTTGCTGCCTTGCTCCGCGGCAACAACACGACTATCAGCATCGCCCACCGGCTTTCTACCATCAAACGATCGGACACAATCATTGTGCTTGCCCCTGATGGCAAGGTGGCCGAGCAAGGCAGCTATGAGGAGCTCAGTTCCCGCCCTGATGGAGCATTCACCAAATTGATGGAATGGCAATTGAGTGGCGGCGATGCCACTCCTCCTCGGGCACCCGTTAGCCCTGAGACAGAGGAGAAGTTGTGGCAGTTGGAGAATGAAAATGCTGAAGATGAAGCTGAGGCTGAAGAGCCTCGCGAGGAATCTGCTCAGCAAAAGCAATAGAAGGAGTCACTGGGACGACACTTTCAAGCATTCTTCAGTTCTATATTTACATGTTTTGACGTTTTCGAGCCGCGTAGACCACCGGGCTTGCTTTGTGTCTGAAGGTGACTCACTCATATATACCTGTTCCTAGAAGGTGGGGCGCCTGACGATGTATGTAATATTTCTGTGTTTTTTTGTATTTTCTATTATTGTTCCTGGATGACTGGATAGAGAGATCGATCGTACAGAAGAAGAAATACCCAACTCTCCTCCTCATAACTCACATTTCCTGCCTGTCTTAGTCACCCGAACGTGACCAGCCAGTCGATCAATCAGTCAGCCTTGGCACCTCCGACACTCCCTCATGACCTTCACTGCTTGTCCCCTGGCATCGTGACCTCTTCTTCTCATTCCACCGACATACATACTAACGTTATGGATTGATCTTCCTTCTCTCCGGGTCTCTCTAGCTCTCCACCAAGGGACTCTTCTACCACCACAACAATGAACCGCATCCGCAAACAGTTCGCTCCGCAAGTGACGTATGAGGCAATCCAGCAGCCTGCGGAGTCGGATAACGAGGATAACGAGTCTGAGGTTGGCGATGCCGCGTCGACGGCTCCGCAGCAGGCCCCGTTCTCCGCATATGAGTATGCGGTGTTCCTCCTCTTGGGGATCTCTATGCTATGGGCATGGTACGTTTATTGTGAGCCCGGAAGGACCAGCTCAATGCGTCTCCTTATCGTTCACCAACTATAGAGCGTCCACTTGCTAATCAGCGTGCCTCGATGACTGTAGGAACATGTTCCTCGCAGCAGCTCCATACTTTTATCATCGCTTCCAGACGGACGACTGGGCAGCGACTCATTATCAGCCCTCGATCCTGACCGTGTCGACGGTCACGAACCTGGGGTCGTCCTTCATCCTGGCCAAGCTCCAGAAGGGCGCCTCCTACCCCAAGCGGACGGTCGTCTCGCTGCTGATCAACATCGTGGTCTTCACCCTCCTAGCCTTCTCGACAATCTTCATGAAAGATGTCTCCGTGGCAACCTACTTCGCCTTCTTGATGTTCATGGTGTTTGGTGCCAGCCTCGCCACGGGCATCAACCAGAATGGCGTCTACGCGTACGTTGCCGGCTTCGGACGAGAGGAATACACGCAGGCCATCATGAGCGGCCAGGGTGTGGCCGGCGTACTACCATGTATCGTTCAGATCGTCTCTGTCCTCTCCGTCGCACCCAACCGGGGAGGCGGAGGCGATAACGACAACGACCAAGACCACGGCCCTGCTTCCCCGCAGGAATCCTCCAAATCGGCCTTCGCGTACTTCATCACCGCCACCGCGGTCTCCTCCCTGGCCCTCATCGCCTTCACCTCCCTCGTCAAGCGCCGCTCCCACATCCCCAGCCTCAGTGCTCCCAGCACCACCACCAACAGCAGCAGCAATAACAACAACGATGACGACGATGACGACGACACCTCCGAATCCAACCCCAACCCCAAAACCCGAACCATCAGCCTCTGGACCCTGTTCAAGCGCCTTCGCTTCACCGCCCTAGCCATGATCCTCTGCTTCACCATCACGATGACCTTCCCCGTCTTCACCGCGCAGATCGAATCCGTCCACCGAAACGGCGAGTCAGGGTCATCCTCGCGCCTCTTCGACGCCCCCGTCTTCATTCCGCTAGCCTTCTTCTTCTGGAACGCCGGCGACCTCGTGGGCCGGATGCTGGTGCTGTGGCCGCCGCTCTCGCTGGTGCACCGGCCCTGGGGGCCCGGGGCGCTGCTGGTCTTCGCCTGCGCCCGCGCCGCCTTCATCCCGCTGTACCAGCTGTGCAACATCCGCGGCCGCGGCGCCGTCGTGCAGAGCGATTTCTTCTACCTGGTCGTCGTGCAGTGGCTGTTCGGCGTCTCCAACGGGTACCTGGGCAGTAACTGTATGATGGGCGCCGGGCAGGTCCCCGCCGAGGAGCGGGAGCCCGCTGGCGCGTTTATGGGGTTGATGCTGGTCGCGGGGCTGACGCTGGGGAGTCTGTTGAGCTTCCTGGCTGCGGGCGGGTGAGCGTGTTTCTCTATGCTTGGTTGGACTTGGTGTGTTCTTGGGATTATTCTCTAATAGACTATGTGTACTACTGTACTTCCCATTTGCTGTAGAGGATGGGATGAGATATCGTACCCAATTTATCCGGCTCACGGTTCGATGGGGTAGGTACGCTCAAAGAGCTGCCGGTCCTACAAACATTCAGCACGCAGTTGACAGCGACACAAGTCCATCTCAGTATTATTTTTAAGATCAGTAGATGCATTAATAGAGAAGATCCACCCACCACCAACCAAACCCCCCACCCCATCTCAGTTCAGCTAATTATGAATACATTGTACATGAAAGTATGCATCATCATCATCATCAATCACCCCCAGAATACAAGAAGGAAGGAAGCAAGCAGGCGAAGAAGGGCAAGCAGGATAGGCCGGAAAAGCTACCAACATAGCGATGTAAATAAAACTTTTCGTTCCCCAGGTCCTTTGCTCCCCCATGTGCCTAAATGCCTAATGCAGAAGAGTCAAGAAGAAAAAGAAGTCAAGAGAAGATTGTCAGCCAGCTTCGCCGTTGCACCAGCAAAAAGGTGCGAGACGCGACGCGACTAACCCCGACGGGTGCTTCTCTTCATCATCCGTCTCTGTTCCTTCTGCGACTCGCGATCCAGGTACTTGCGCTGCTCGTCCGCAGACATGCCGCGGAGGAGGCGCTCGCGCTCCTCCTTCTTGATCTTCTCGGCGGCGAGGCGGCGCTCCTCGGCCTTTTCGTCCTCGTCCGCGCGGCGCAGCTTCTTGATCTCCTCCTCGCGGGTGTGGCGGATCTTGCGGGTGACCTCGGGGCGAAAGTGAGCGACCGCGACGAGGCGGTCGGCCAGGCGCACGAACTGCGAGAATAGGGGGAGGGAGGTGGCGTAACCGGCGGCCGAGGAGGGGAGGGTCATGGCGAGCTGGATGCGTTTACGGGGGGTGATCTCCTCGATCCTGAAAGAAAAGAAAGTGTTAGTGTTGTGACTCAATTACGTTTCGAGGAGGGAAAGGGTTCATCATACTTCAGGGGCTTGTCGATCGGCTGGTCGGTCACGATCAGGTACTTAAAGTCGGAGCCGGCTTTCTCGACCGCCTGGATCAGCTCGGGGGTCAGGAGCACGTCGGTGATCTCGGCACTCTCGGTCATGACAGTGACCCAGCTGGGGAGCTTGGGGTTCTCGCGGGTGAAGGTGAGCGAGGCATCGTAGCGCTCCTGACGGAACTTGCGCATGTGGTTCTTGTGCACGATCGCCCAGACGAAGCCATCGTAGGTCGAGTTGTTGACTTTCAGGGACGAGGTGTCGTTCGCGGGCACGGGCACCACGTCCTTCTCCTTGCCGTCGAAGGTGTACGCGGTGGCCTCGTAGATCTCGGTGGGCGCCTCCCAGCTCTCGAAGAGGAAGCTGAACACAGACTCGGTCCAGAAGATCACCGGGTTGTACCGCTTGGGCAGCTTGACGGACACGTCCACGAAGGCCACGTTCTGGCGACCCGTGGCGTACGACGCAAACTCTTGCGCCGACCGCTCCTTGAGCAATGCATCCGGGGAGGGAGCGTCCTCGGTCTTGGTACCCTCAAAGCCAACGACGGCGAACTCATTCTGCAGGGCCGACGCGTGCGCTTGTGCCCAGTCGCGGGCCCGACGCCGGTTCTTGCGAGTGCCCCAGAAGTGGAAGATGACAATCAGCAGGATGATCGGCATGACCATGGCTTCCTGCATGAAGTCCTGCGGCGAGGTCCGCTCCCACACCCGGTACCATTTCGTGTACGGGACCGGGCTACCAGCGCCCACTCCGTGGGTGTTGATGGCCGGAGTGGTGGACGAGCCGGGGACGAGGGAGGCCGGAGAGGGCTCTGGGGCCTCAACGAAGTCGGCGAAATCTAATGGATGGTTGTGTTAGGAAAGGCTTGCGCTGGGGGTGTTTCACGGGTCGGTCGGGGCTGGATGGAGCTCAACCCCGGATTTTGGGAAATGGGGTTGCGTGCGTGACTTTACCATCGTCGACCCTGGCCGGGTTGGAAGGCTGCGAGCCTCCAAATAGGTTTTGGAACATGCCCGCCATAACGAGATTTGGAGGGGAATTGAAGAATCCGGGATGTTGACAAGCGAGGATCTGGCGACGTGGCGACGGAAGGAAGCAGACGAGAAGGAAGAGAAGAGGAGGAGGAGGTTTGGCGTTGGGTCGACCGGTTGACGTTTGTCGCAATCGGAGGCTGCCGAGTTCGGCTGGTGGAGCCGCCCTCGGCCTCCAACGCCAGTTTCCACGAGATAAGACCCTCTGTGTATTTACTCCTACTCTTACAACTCAGGTCAATTGCAAGTAAGCAACAGTACAAAGTAGTAGAATTCCTGGTTGGTAGGATGTTTATCCTCAATTGCGGGCCCAATCCTTGAGACTTGGTTCACCTGCAACAACACTGATACTGATAGGAACCAAGGCGAAGAAGAGAGGGAAATGAGAGAAATATTTACAATGTCAAAGAGAGTCGGTCAGCGAGCGAGGTGGTATCCTTGGAAGAAAGCATATCGCTCACAGAAGCACAAATTGCACAAAAAAACCCACAACATACACGCCCAATTCTTTTATGGATACAGCCCATTCGATATACAAGTTCTAGCACCCGCTCCAAAGTTCACCCCGCGAGATGATCAGAATAAAAATAATCAGAGCGGAAAAATTAAAATCAATGTCGTAGCGGTCGTGAATGGCTCCTGAACCTGGAGCCTTGAGGAATGCACTGAGCACAATGGCAGTCCTGATAAGAAGAGAAAAAGGTGTAAGTAGGTGGAGAAGTATGATCATTGACCATACGCCGGAGGAGCATCTTCATGACTTAAACGATCCCAAAAGGCACTGCAATTGCCACCAGGGGTCAACTTCTCATCGCGCATGCGACGGGCAATTTCCCCAGCGAGTCTTTCGACCAGCGCTTGATCCACCACGCTAGAGGTTGGTTTGGAGTCTGTGAACGGGAGGGCTGTCGCAGGTAAGTTGCGGGTTACACCTGCTTCTTGCTGCTTCTCGCTCTCCCGGCGAGAGGACATGTGAGGATGCATAGAACTCCGAGGAGTGGCATCCACGTCAACGACTGCAGGATGACGAGGAGCCGCAGAGGATGATGATTCGCCGACGTCCCGTAACATTTCAGTGGCGATATTACGCCGTGGCATAGCAGGTCTGGATAGACTGGCACGATGTCGTTCAGGGATCGTTGGAAGATGAAGGTCGCTGCTTGGCGAAAGTGGGGGCGTCACTGGATCATCGGTCTGCTCGTTCACCACAGGTAGAGGAGCTGAGTAAACCGATGCGGCGCTCGTAGTCTCCGTATAGGTACTCTCACCACTTACGCTGACGGCGTCATCTGTCGTCTTGGGGCGACGCAAATCAACGACGCGCTTCTTCCGCTTTCTCGCGTTGGATTTCGAATGACGTCCTGAACCCAGGTTCAACCCGTAGCTGCTGAAAGTGTGCGTGTTCACAGAAGACCTGCTTTGCGCAGATACCATGCTGGCCGTGTCCTGGAAGGAGGAGGACAGGCCCCCAATCTGCGAATGGGTCCTAGAGAGGACTGAGCTAAGAGGTGACGTCACGCCTCCAGAAAGATCGCCCGAGTCGGAAGGTGAAGTCCACGCGCGATATACAACTTCCTGAATAGATGGAGTGAAAAGCGATAGCGTCCGCTGGGAATCCGTGAGTGCAGCGAGTCGGAGAAGGTTCTTTTGGGAGAAGAGAGAGTGGGTCTCAACGGTGGAATCGAGAGAGAGAGAGGCGATTTCCGATTCATCCAAAGCGTTTCCGGACGCATCGACCGGGTCTTGTGGCGGGCTTGCCAAGGGATCTTGACCTGGTCCTTCGCCTGCAGTGTCCGCAGCTTCATTCTGAAGATCTTCACCAGCGCGATATTCCGGAACCCAAAGTCGAAGGGATAGGCGGTGGATGATAGCGGGCAATTCGTCCATGAACAGAATCCGAAGCTGTGCCTCTATCTCTCTTTGCAAGAAGTCGCGCACAAAGGGAATGGAATCGAAGGTTGAGGAGACTTTGAGAGATTCGAGTGGATCATTGCGGAAGACAACAGTGATTCCTTTTTGCTTGGAGAACACTAATATGACGAAGCCGGAGAGTTTGAAATCGGAGAGAGTGATTTGCAAAGGTATGGTGAGAGGAGTTCTGTAATGCAGCGAGTGAAGATGTTAACAATAAATCTTGAGGGTGCGCGATAGGGTTCGCCTGTAGGAGTCACACTCACGCTGCGGCGACGGGCATGGGAGTCGCGAACGACGGTCGGGTGAGAAGATAGGTGTTGAGTGGATTCGCCTGCACTCGCGTCTTGAGGGTGAGAAAGGCGTCTCCAGTGTATGACATCTTGAAAATGCCCCGAAATCGATCCTCCGCCAGATCGCCAATTTCCAGAATCTCTAGTTCGGGCGGGATGGAACCGAGATTCAATTCAGTCACAATGATATCGTCCACGATGATGGGCGGCTTGGGAGATTTATTCAATGCGGCAGTCAACAGATCTTGGGCACGAGTATAGAAACTCGCGTCCGCCATAAGCGGCGACCAGTTGAAGTTGAACGCCATCGTCGCTCATCGAAAGGATGGAGTCACTTTTTTTTTATTGATTCGAACGTGCCGACATGGGGAAGGAATACTGAGAGACGGGACTCAGACAAGGTAAAGAAGTTTAGAAGAGCCTATTTATTGGCCCATTACAAGGAGGAGAGCGACAAGAGGTCGGGGTAAGGAGGGGAAGGAGCAGAGTGATGGAGAAGGGGGAGGAAGTATTGGTGGTGGTGGAGGAGGAAATAGGTCGATGCGCCGATAAGCCGACCGTGAATGGGGAGGAGACTGAATAAAAATGGATGGGCGGATTGAAAGGAAAAAAAGACGAGCGGCGAACATTTCCCGAGGGTTTGCTGGCTCAATCCGGTAATCCTGCGGCGCTCGCGTGATCGACGCGACGGACCTTTGTAGCTCTTGTTATAGCTTCCCCTTCTACCTAAAGGGGTCCCAAAATCATTTCAAATATAAAAATCATATTGATATTACATCCCTGGAAGGGTTTGACCTGATGCGGCCCAGCAGCAGTGTTTGCGACCGCAGCGCTGTGTGGTGTCTTGTGTCTATAAAGAAGCAAGAGAAAAAAAAAAGCTCAGCAGCCAAAAGGGGAAGAGATAACGTCACTAGGCTCAGCTGTCGGCTTTTAGTTTCTTTCTTCCGTTCCGCTCCGAAGACTCAATTGTTATGTTCAATGGGGATTTATGAACAAATGAATCCTGATGACTCTTCTTCTAATTACTGGATGATGGAGTTAACAAACTAACTTGCCTATCTGCTGACCTCTTCCTCCTTCCATCCGTGCATCCTTTGCATTAAACCATCCTTATTCCCGCTTCTCCTGACTGGATCTTCACATTCCAAATGAAAGGCCCGTGCTGGGAAACAGAGTGGGAATTTTTCCTCATTCCCGGTCCACCCGTCCCTGTGAAACTCCCGGCTAGCCCGTGTCAATGCTATTTACAGAGTACGGGTGTAGATTCATTGATATCCTTAACTAGTTACTGTCTCAAAACACAGTACTGAACATGCCCCGCCACCTTACATTGCCCGAAAAGGAACCTTCAGACTATGGTGCTTCAGATCCAGTTCAAGGTTTGTATGGAGGTTGCCCGACGGGTTCTAATTCCTGCCCGCTGGCTTACATGCTGAGGTAGGCAACATTCGCAGTCTGACCTGCAATTCAGCCTGCCCTTTTTCTTGCTAGACAATAAACATGGTGTACTCCGCAGTTGCTCTTGAGATCAAGCCCATAGACAGTTTTGTTGTTTCATGCAGCAAATAGTTCTTGTATATATTATCACACAGAAAGAACTATAGACGCAATAATATATGTCTTGTACTAAAAGATTCCATCATCGACAAGCACGAATTGCAACCCTTTTCTCTATCTACACTTTCGAAATGACCGCTCTCCTTTCTCTGCTCGTAACCCCTTATATTCATTTCCTATGTACCTCCTTTCGTACCTTCTCCAGGGAGTATGAGACTATGAATGCCAGGTCCGCTTATATAATCCGCTGTTTTTCCTTCTCCTCAGCAACGACTGGCACTAAGCCTAAAACGGGAAGAGAACAATAAGCTACCTCCGCGGTATGCCAGTGCCGCTGCAGCTGTCTCTTTCGCATCAACGCAATCGATAACCTCCCAGCGTCCCCTCACATTAGCGGGCAGCTAGCCCACCGACCATCATCGAAAGTCTCCTCCTACTAGTGAAGCACACTGAAGCCGCCATGTTTCCGCCTCCCTCCCCGGTCGCTGCGACCGGTGACCAACAGCAATGGATGCCCCGAGTGGCAACCAGAACCCGCACCGTCGCTCAGAGAAAAGTGTACGGAAAGAGGAGGGCAGATGCCCCGAGGGCTGTGCTCGATCAGCGAAGCCCCGCCAAGGCTCCGGAGTGGCTGGACCCCAAGCAGCACGAGAAAGAGAGCGGCGAGGATGCGGTGGAGGGTGTGCGGGTGAAACTAGCGGAGGTGGCGATCGAGGAGAAGAGCACGCTTATGGATCTGACGAGGAAGGGGAAAGCTGAAAAGACGAGGAAGAAGACCTCAGAGGACAGACCTGAGGTCGTGCAGTCAGTTGAAGAGAAGGAGGTGAAGCCTACATCTGCTGGGGATTGGTCCGGCCGAACTTCGAAACCACAAGATGAGCCGGAAACCGCGCAAGTCCAATCGAAGGGCACCGGCACACCGGAGAAAAATACCCGACAAACAGCGAAGCCACGGTACGACATGATGGTGGAAGTCCGAGTCAGTCATAAGATCCCGGCAGAGCGAACCCTACGACGGAACAAGACGTGCGAAGTTCCCGCAGAATCTGGGACGAGGGCATCACGAAGGAACAAGGACAAGCCAGTGGCTCGGGTGTCAACTGGCTGTGTTACGGATGAGAAGGCCAATGAATATGTTCGCCCGATCTTGAATGAAGCGCTGTCCGCGGCTGCGGCGCAGAGTGTCCAGAAGTTTGCCTCGTGGGCTGGCCGGGCGGGGAACCTGTTAGAGGTGGTCAAGATTGCTGAAGGGTCATATGGAGAGGTCTACAAGCTTCGATTACGGGAGGAGGTGTGCAAGAAGGAGATGTCCAGGTCCAAGCTCGCCCGCCTGAAGGCCTATGGCGACGGAGTCTTCAAGGTTGTGCCTCTGCGGGCTCAGAGTGGGCCAGGCTCGAAGAAATTTACCAGCATTGACGAGATCGTGTCCGAAGTCAAGATGCTCAAGTATCTGGATCCGATCCCCGGATTCGCTCGCTTTAGAGAAATCCACGTGGTTCAGGGCCGGTTCCCCGATTCGTTCCAGAGAGCCTGGGACCACTACAAGAATACCAAGGATGACTGCTGGAATCCGAACCCATCCAGTAAAAGGGCCTATCCCGACTTGCAGTTGTGGGCCATTGTGGAAATGGATGATGCTGGCTGCGAACTGGAGAAGTTCGCGTGGACTTCTATCTTCCAGATTTACGATATCTTCTGGGGAGTGGCAATGGCGCTTGCTCGGGCGGAGGAATACGCATTGTTCGAGGTAAGCCTTTGATCTTCTGCCAGCTACAATCAAGTCTGACATCCAATAGCACCGCGACCTACATCTAGGCAACGTCTGTATTCGAAGTACTCGGCCAGGGGGGTGCATGGATCCACCCACAAACAAGGAGATCATGGATCAGGCGTACAAAAGCGGCTTCGGACTCAGCTCCCTCGAGACGACCATCATCGACTATTCTTTGTCTCGCGCACAATTGCACCTCAGCGAGGCGGCCGAGAAATATGAGATCGCCTCGTCAGATCTCGACAAGAAACAAATCTTCGATGCAATCGGACGGGATGAAGATGAGATCATGCTCAGAAACACATACCGATAGTGAGTAGCACCGGAACAATCTCGCACGCCGGCATCACAAGTGCACGATTAGTTGACTATCTTGACCTTCAGCATGCGCGCCCAGCTCTATCACGGTGATCCCCTCAAGTCCGAAAAATGCCCCGACATCACGGGTATCTGGGCCGAGTACGCCCCTCGAACCAACCTCGTCTGGCTTCTCTTTCTCCTCCAGTCCCTCCTCAAGAACAGAAAACCCGAGATCCCCTCGCTCCCAGCACCCCGTCAACCCCTGGCCCCATGCTCACCCAACAAAGGCCTCAAACCGACCGCCACATCCAAGAAGAACACCTTAAAACCACAAATGCCGTCGACGGTGACCCCTGTTCACGCTGATAGTGTCTCAGACCTGAAACAGACGCTCGAGAAGAGACTGACCGCCGTGCTGGAGCTGCTCGACCTCGAACACGGACATGAAGACATGTGCTGTGCTGCGGATCTGGTCGCCTACGCGATTGACTCGCAGTGGCTGGATGAGCAGGACTTTTTCTGATTTCTGGTTTTGCTTCTTCATTGTTCCGCTTTGCGAGGGCGCCGGAGGTTTTCTTTTTACGGTTTTGTTTCCTTCTGCATAATAACATATAGATGGCGGGGGCGTTACGAGCGGCATCAGTTCTTTGGGTTAGAATATACCACTTGGCATCGCTGAACCAATCATGCGGTTTGGATGGAATTATAAGTATGAGACGTGAGATCTAAAAGGGTCAAGGCTTGGCTTTGCAGGATTGAGTAACTGGATCTAGCTGTTTTGGTCGCGCGTAGGAAGTAACAATGCGTTGATTAGAGCACGCTCCTAATCTGCTGGTCAAGTTGAGGTTCTTTGCCACATACTCTGTTGCGACTCTTGACCGGCGAATACCCGTAGGGCGCACAAGTCATGTTGTACTTATAAGACCATTGGTAATAGCTAACTCTCGATTTATACTTAAGCTTTGTAGATTTGAAGATCTGAACTCATATATCTATCTATCCTATACTCTACATCTATCTACTCTATCACGGGAACCAAGTCCTACCGTACAGTATGTTCCCCTTTCCGGTTGTACGCCGCCATGATATCCCCGACCATCTACAATTTTCCATAGATCTTAACCCTCTCGTCGACAGGCGTCTGCTCTTTCGGCTCCGGCGCTCCCTCGGGGCTGCCAAATACCAACTGTGCACTCAGCTTCCACTCCTTAGGCACATTCCACGCCTCCGCCACCGGGGCATCGATCAGGGGATTATAGTGCTGCAGGTTGGCGCCGAACCCCAGAGCCTCTAGACCAGTCCACACTAGACGAAGGCACCGAAAGTCAGCCGGCCGGCCCATCGACCCACGAGCTACCCTTTGCTGCCGCAACAGCAGCGCACAGGGAATAAGAAGAGAGGGTGTCAAAGCAGGAAAAGGAGAACACAGGAAAAAGAAACCTACAGAAATACTGATGCATAGCATTCGAATGTTGGGCCCATGGTTCAAACTGGTCTTTGTAGAGCGCAAACTTCTCGGAAAATGGCTTGATGTGCGCCGGATCTTCGTAGAAGAGGACCTATCCAACAGAAAAAAAAAAGTCAGGGACCCCCTCTCACTTCAGCTCACATCCAAACCAAGAGCAGATACAGAGGGCGAGAGATGGGAGCGGGAAGGTGGGAACAGGAACTTGGACTCACCGTCCCAACCGCAGCTTTGAACCCCTCCAGCTTGGGCAAGGTTTGATTCTTCCACACCTGCTCGGGCACCGCGCCCGTCTTGACCAGGTTCTGGAAGACGCCGATCACGAGGTCCCACAGCCGCTCGTGCTCCTTGTGCAGGACGACGACCAGGCGGGTGGATTGCGTGTTGAAGGCACTCGGGACGTGCAGGATGGCTTGCTGCACGAGCTCCTCGATCTGGGCGTCGGGGACGGAGTGGTTGCGGCCCAGTTGGTAGATCGTGCGGCGGTTCTGGGCAAGAGAGATGAGGGATTGTGCGCTGGGAGTCTTAGCTGGGGCAGAGGAAGAGGACGAGGACAGTCGGATTGTAGTTGCTGGAGTCAACAAGGAGTTGGTGGTAGCGGTGCGGGGGAGGGTGAAGCGCACTGCGGGGGTGCAGCGGCGGAGGAGGAGTCGGGGCGTAACCATTGTGTGGTATATGCACAGGTCTTCGACTGATGGACTAGAATGCTAGGGTCAGTTTGCGCTCTCCTCTTGTTTGGGAATGTGGTGCCGTTCTTATAGTTGTGCCGTATTTACAGTATGCGGATTGCGGAGTCGAGCTCCGACGGGATCTCGTATTCGCGCGGAATTGCGGAGATAGGCTTATTAATAGCGTCATTTGTTCAGGTACGAAATTACCAATGAATGGCATGGCCCCTGGGGTTCTGGGCCGATTGGGTAAGGCTGATTCAGGATGACAATATGGAGCTCGTGTCGGGGGAGGGGGTTTATCATGTCTGATAATCTGTACAAGTAAGTCTGCGATTGCATTTTCTCGATGAAGCTCGTGGGCCATCGTTGTTGAAGTCCATTGTTTTCGGATGCAGGATGACATCATTGTCTGCAACTCCTATACCTTTGTACTCATTCATACTCAACGCCGTGAGGTCTTTATGATTATTCGACAATCCTCTTCCCTTATATGCTTCGTAAAGTATGTCTGTTGGAGTAACTTCCGCAGGTAATCCATTAGTATCCATGATCATGGATCCATGATGGATGCAAGCCTGCCTTTCCTATTTCGGACAGCTCGCTTTTTGGCCAGGGAGCTTTGTATGGCTCCTTCCCAACCTTTTGGCAGCTCACAACAACCACAGTGAATGATAATCTGCTCAAAGGAATCCAAGTGCTCTCTCCCTCTGTCTGGTGAGTTTAGTGAAGCCATCTGGATAACTCCATCGCATTCTTACTGATCTCAATTATGTCGCTCATTTTTAGGACTACGAAGTCACCCTTTCTCCTCTTCTTCTTCATTCTAACTACAATTCTCTTTAACATCAGCCCCGTGTGCCTGGCCTCGAAGGAGGCAGCACGAGATGTACTCTACGGAGCAGTCATCACTCATTGTGCGGTTCCCGGCACCGTGGCCCTCACCTTCGATGACGGACCAGGCATCTACACTCCGCAACTCCTCGACCTCCTCAGCGAGTACGGTGCGCGCTCCACCTTCTTTGTCAATGGCTACCAGCTCTCCAACCACCACGACATCCTGGTCCGGACCCTGAACGAAGGACACCAGATTGGTTCTCACACGTAAGCGAGAAACCTTGTCTCCTTCCCTTTGCGCATCACCAAGAAATACCGAGAAAGCAAAGACTGAACACGAGACGTAAACTCAGGTACGATCACGCTCGTCTGTCCGCTTTACCATACGGCGAGGTTGTCGAACAAATGCGCCGGCTGGAAGCAGCATTATACGACACTCTCGGCGTGGTTCCGATGTACATGAGACCGCCCTATCTCGCCATCAATGGAGAAGTCCTCGCCGCGATGGGCGAACTGGGATACCATGTGATCAGCACAAGCGTGGATACCAAGGACTATGCGCACGACCATCCGGACTTGATCCCGAGGAGCTTCACGAGATTCCTGGAGGGTCTGAATGCTGGGGGTTCGGTGGTTTTGGCCCACGACACCCATGAGCAGACCGTGGCAACGTTGACACGGGCGATGCTGGATGAGATCGTGGCCAGGGGGCTAGTTCGTAAGTCACATATAAGTCTTGTTAGTGCTTTTCTTTGCTTTGCTTTGCTGCAGCAAATGCTAATGTCACGGGTGCTGGTTCTAGCTGTCCCGGTGGGAGAATGCTTGGGAGACCCGGAGTATAATTGGTATCGTTAATGCCACGAGCAGATCAAGGCAGTCTGTGGACGCCCACTTGGCTGCATTTCTTTACTTAGTTCTGTTCTGTAATGTATATTTTAGTCTTCATGCTGTTTTCGGTATTTGGTTCCATAATAAGGTACATCACAGTGGGAATGTCGGGAACTGAGAGGAAGCCTTAGAGGATTAGAGTCGGTTAGGCTGCGCCTTCCGGAAAACAGGATATCGGACTGTCTCGGGATGAACTTTCCTTCGTCACACCTTTATTGTTTGTAGAGCTAATTTTTGATATAGATTTCAGTTGGCTCTTGACCCTTGACTCTTTTACATGAGTACCCCAAAGAAACGACATTTCACGCGCGCATTCACACCCCACTAATAGACCAGGACATACTAGAGGGGTCCATGTACGGTGGAATCATGTCCCCCCGGGGAAGAACTGGAATAGCTACCTGTGGCTTTATATTATTAAATTCTACCCATCTAGGTCTAAACTTTTGAATGTACAGTACAACTGTAGGTGTCACGGGAACCGACTCAGAACTTTTGATGACGAAGACTCGAACAAGTATAGTATATGACTTTCTCGATGTACTGCAAGACCAAGGTCTGTTAGCAGCTGCCTCCATGCCAAGCATACCGCATGCCAGGTTGGGGGGGGGGAATTCACACAACTGTGTTGGGTTGAGTTCAATATGAAATCATCCAGATCCCCCCTGACCGGCCCTCCGTCCGGAAGGGAAGTTGTACTGCGCGTCGAGATCGTCTTCCTTGTCCTTGGCTGCCATCAAGCCCCGCCATTGGGTGGAGCGGAAAGGCTTCATTGCCTGCTGGAAGGAATGCTTGATCTTCGTCGCGATGCCGGTCATCTTGTGGGTTTTGTTGGACGGGGATTGTTGATGGGCCAGGTGTTTATGTGTATGTTTATGTGTTTGTGTATGTTTGTGTGGATGTATGAATGTATGTTTGTGTGTAGGGATGTGTGTATGTGTGTATGGATGTATGGATGTATGGATGTAGGGATGTATGGATGTATGGATGTATGGGTGTATGGATGTGTCACTGTAGGTGTATTTGTATAATGTATATATGTATCGCTAAATGCTGGGAAGAATTGTATGAGGTGAGGAGTAGTGTGCAGAAACGCGGAGAGATAATGAAGGCTCGAAGGCTGGAGAATACTTCAGAGGACGAGGGACTGAGAGTGACGAGTACGCGGCTTTTTGAACCGCTGAGTGGCCAAAGTGGTTGTGTTGCTATCAATGGATTCAGTGGATGAAGTTCAGACCGTGACGTCAGGGGTGAGATCTGGCATCGTCGTTTGCGGTTGTGGTTGGGGAGGGATCGGAGGATGAGAGGGTCGCGAAGATGTAAGGATTGAACTCTCGCTAAGATGATTGGTAATGGCAGCTCCGCTGATGAGGTATCTTGAGAAGACAGAAAAAAAGTGATGCAAATTGATTGTGTTGCGTGGGGATTGAAGCTCTAAACCATAAGTTTTTGCTTATCGGTTCGTTGGTCTTGTGGTTTGTTGTTGTAATCATAAAAGCTTGTAACCATTGTTGTCGAGATCCAATATTCCTGGGTATAGGATGACATCATGACATCCTTTTCCTGGTAACATGATGGCTACTTTGTCACATGGTCATGGATGCAAACTATCCAGTGGGCTGAGAGTCATAGCTACATCCATTCGTTATGTGCGACAGATAGTGGCCATGTCGACCAGAGGGTGATGTATTTCTTAGGATAATTAGACTGAACAACAATCTGAGTGGTGTCTGATTGATTAGTGTACACGCAGAGAACGCCATTACATGCTCAGCATCGAACATAAACACGTCGGGCCTGGATGCAGCGCAATACTTCCCTTGGAAACCGAGAGACAAGTTCTGTAAAGGCTGGTAAAGAGAACAATTTAAAGGGGCCACGATGGGGGTAAAAGGCCGTTTCGTCGTTGTGAAGTTGTAGGTAATGAATGTGATGCTGTATCGCTCCGTAAAATGATTTCTACAAACCCCAGCCCAGTGCCGACATAGACCTGGACTCGTAGTGGATGAAGCTTGATCAAGCAATTGCTGTCCAGCTCATATTGATGGTTGAGAGTGATTGCGTGGGCCTTGTAGTGCACACTCATTCTCAGATACACTGCTCCTCGCTCCCATGTACCAGCCCTCATCGTTCAAGCGAAGTTCCAAGTCAAGCCAATACTTCGCCTTGCCTCCCGCCCCAGTCTTGAGATCTAGGTCTCCGAGGCGTACTTCGATCCGACTGGTCTCATCTTTCGGTATCTGCATCGAGATTAGCTTAGTGGGTGTGGCAGTCCAGCCAGGAAAAGCAGAAAAACACACCCTGATAAACATTGTACAGTCACGGAGAGTCATCCCGAGCGATTTTTCGACCGAGGTGACAGGAGGACCATGGAGCCCCACATCGCACATGCTCTTCTGGTGTGCCAGGAGTTTCTGCAGGGTACTATTCCGATAGAGTACCTTTGCCAGCCGGGCCTGATCTTTGCATCCCTTGACGAACCGGGCCGCTCGGAAAACATTCTCGAATCTGTCGCTCACCAAGTCCAACGGACAGAATGATGTTTCCTCGGACTTGCCGGTTTTGCGCGCCTTGTGATTCTTCATTTCGCGGAGTGCGCATGTCCGGCACCGTCGAGAGTTAGCTGGGGCTGACGGAGATTGGGCGAGCCACTTAGGCTTCAGCTCGGATAACGTGGTCCCAGGACTAGCGAATGTGGTCATGTCAGTTATCAGAAGCCCGAATGTCTCTGTCGTAGAGAGATATACGCCTTGTCGTCTTCTGGGACGCTGCCCGGTTTGCTCCGCCGCTAGAAGCTGCTCATTGCATAGTTGAACCAGTCCTCTGGGAAGACAGACAAGTTCCTGATCGACGAGATCTTCTGGTTTAAAAAGAGGCCGAATGCATTGGTCGAAGTTTCGTGCAATCTCTTCATAGGGGATTCCTGAGCTTGTGTCTTTCCGAAGACGAAGCAGCTTTCCTTTGAAGCTGGCGGGTATACTATAACGATTCGTTACGCCTGATGGCAGGTTGGAAGACACGGTTATCGGAACATCTTTAGGATTTCGCCCCTTATGAGTTTGGGTAGAAAAGAGGATGCGATAGATGATATTGGCGCCCCCTTCGGCAAGATAGACGAGCTCAGCCCCTACCGGGAGCTCCAGCATATTGGGCTTTGGCATTTGTTGAGGGCTCACGGAATCTGTGGTCAAGGTTGATGAATCAAGCAGGAACTCATATCCATACAAGTAAAAATTTCCTCGGACTTCCTACAACGCACTTTAAGATGATAGCGAAAGACCAAGGGGGGATGTTCAGCAACGATGTATAGAGTCACGTGGTTGAAGTAGTTCCTTCGAGGAAGAAAAAGTCCGTAGGGCGCAGGCGAAGATATGTAGCAGTTAA